AAGAGGACGTGGAACAAGGGATATCATAGCTGTTGTCAGATGGATCTTGGCTCAAGGCAAAGAATACCAGAAAGATGTTTACTTGTGTTTTATTGACTATGCAAAGGCATTTGATTGTGTGGATCATGACAAATTATGGATAACATTGAGAAGAATGGGAATCCCTGAGCACTTGATTGTACTCATGAGGAATCTGTACCTTGACCAGGAGGCTGTCGTTCGAACAGAACAAGGGGACACTACATGGTTTAAAATCAAGAAGGGAGTGCGTCAGGGTTGTATTCTTTCTCCACACTTATTCAATCTATATGCTGAGCAAATAATCCGAGAAACTGGACTATATGAAGAAAAACGTGGTATCAGGATTGGAGGAAGAATCATTAACAACCTGAGATATGCAGACGATACAACTTTGCTTGCTGAAAGTGAGGATGACTTAAGGCACCTACTGATGAAGGTTGAAGAATACAGTCTGCAGTATGGATTACATCTCAACATAAAGAAAACAAAAATCCTCACAACTGGACCAATGAGCAGCATCACAATCAATGGAGAGAAGATTGAGGTTGTCAAGGAATTCACATTGCTTGGTTCTACAATCGATGCCAACAGAAGCAGCAGTCAGGACATTAGACGTCGTGTAGCATTGGGAAAGTCAACTGCGAAGGAACTGTTTCAAGTGCTGAGGAGCAAGGATATCTCCTTGAGGACTAAGGTGCGCCTGACACAAGCCATGATATTTCCAATCACCTTGTATGCATGTGAGAGCTGGACAATGAATAGGGAAGACCGAAGAAGAGTTGATGCTTTTGAGTTGTGGTGCTGGCGAAGAATGCTGAAAGTACCATGGACTGCTAAAAGAACTAACAGATCTGTCCTGGAGGAAGTGCAGCCAGAATGCTCCTTGGAAGCAAGAATGGCCAGACTTTGTCTCACCTATTTTGGTCATGTTGTAAGAAGGGACCATTCCCTGGAGAAGGATGTCATGCTTGGTAGGGTGGAGGGTCGACGAAAGAGGGGGAGGCCTTCAACGAAATGGATTGATACAGTGGCTGCGATGATGGGCTCGAGTATAGCAGGGATTGTGGGGCTGGTGCGGGATCGGGCAGTGTTTCGTTCTGCTGTGCATGGGGTCGCTATGAGTTGGAAACGACTCGACGGCACTTAACAACAACAACAACAACAAAGTAAATTTACCTAAGAGAACCCAGCTGGTAAGTGGACTCAGGCCTATTCCAGAGCCCACACTCCAAGCCTGCACAAGCAGTTCTTCACAAAACTAATGTAAAAATTTGCATTCTCCAAAACGCTGCTCAAGGCTCTTTTCTCCTTTAAACATGTCCACTCTAAGCCTTCTTGCTTTTGAGAATTCTGGTAAAAAGAATGTCTTTTTACGGGGTAAGATTGGTACATCTAAGACCTATTTGGAAAATTGGCAGGTGGAACCTACCTTACTGGAGAAAAATCTTGATCTATGAGGTAAAACCAAAATAAAATGTCCCTGGGTGGCACAAATGGTTAAGCGCTTGGCTGCTAGCTCAAAGGTTGGCTGTTTGAACCTACCCAGAGGCCCCACGGAATATAGGCCTGGCGATCTGTTCTCAAAAGGTCACAAACTTAAAAACCCTATGCAGCAGTTCTATTCTGCATGAACTGGAGTCAATTTGATGGCAGCTAGCAACAATGTAAGGAGCTCTGGTGACATACTGAATAACACATTTGGCTGGTCAGCAGTACAAACCCAGCAGCCGATTCACAGAAGGAAAATGGGGTAATTTACTTTTGTAAAGATTTGCAGCCTTCAGAAACCCAATGGGGTCACTATGAGTTGGAATTGAGTGAGTTTTTTTTCTTTTTTTTTGTAGCAACAACATATATCCTACAGAAACATAAAATATGTACAAAGAGATGTGTTCAAACACCAAAGTTAAAAATAATAACTCTTTGATAAAAGGTGAACTCACAATTCCGTTGATTTAAAAATTATACCTGCATCAACTGTTAAAGGACTTTCCACTGGGTAACAGAAAGCAAGGATATCCTCCTACTTCTAAAAAAAAAAAAAAAATCCTCCTGTTTTTAACTCATTCTTTTTTTCCAATTCAATCATTATGAAATGTAACTTAAATGTTTAAATTGTGAATTAAAATCTTGTCAAAGTGAAGGCAGATCTGGTCTCCTATTTTCAAGCGTGCTGGGCAGTCAAGAATCAGGCTGGCTTTGGCAGCTGGGCTTTACCAACAAACTCTGTGTAGTTGGTTGTTGTTGTTATGTGCCGTCGAGTCGGACCCAACTTATAGCAACCCCTCTTTGGGTTTCCGAGGCAGTATCACTACGGAAATAGATTTCCCCATCTTCCTTCCCAGGAGTGGCCGATGGGTTTGAACTGCCAGCCTTCTGGTTAGCAGTCAAGTACTTTAGGCACTATGCTACCAGAGCTTCCGTGTAGTTGGTTAGAGTATATGTATTTCCCACATGAATTTGTTTTTCTTTACTTTTCCCATAAATTGTAAGCCTAGTTCAGGGTAGGCTCTACACCTACTTCCTTTATACAGTTGTGTATATTAAAATATGTTGTTTTGACTGATATTTTAAACTTTTCTGCAAAGTCTAAAAAAGTTCTTGCAACAGAGTCTACAGTTAGCCCTCGGTAGGCAGTTCAACTCCTGGTCCACAGATCAGAATATTGGGGGTGGGGGAGAAAGCAATTAAATGGTCAAAGCCATCCCTCAAAGGCTTTGAGAGGGAAGTAAAGTGCTGTTTATATATCATTTACATTGTATTAAATGTTGTAAGTAATTTGTTGCTGTTGTTGTGCTTTGCCATTGAGTTGGATTTGACTCATAGCAACCTCTCCTTGGGCTTCTGAGGCAGTAGCCCTACAGAAGTAGATTGGCCAACTTTCTGAGGAGTGGCTGGTGGGTTTGAACCACCAGCCTTCTGGTTAGCAGTCAAATGCCTTAGGCACTATGCCACCAGAGCTCCCTATAAGTAATTTAGAGATTATTTAAAGTACAGAGAGGAGCTCTGGTAGCATAGTGCCTAAGGCACTTGACTGCTAACCAGAAGGCTGGCGGTTCAAATCCACCAGCCACTCCTGGGAAGGAAGGTTGGACATTCCTACTTCTGTAGTGATACTGCCTTGGAAACCCAAGGAGGGGTCGCTATGAGTCGGGGCCGACTTGATGGCAAATAACAACAACAAAGTACAGAGAGGCTATGAGAGGGTTATATAAAAATACTATGCCATGTTTATGTAAGGAATTTGAGCATTTGTGGATTTTGGTATTTATGGGTCCTAAAACCAATCCCCCTGGGAAACTGAGGGACTACTGGCACTGGCTTTTTAAGGATGTCAAGGCCCATATCAGGCAAAGTAAAAGCTTTTGAATTAAGCCCTTGGCAAATTAATAAGAGATTTTTCAAACTTTAATTTGAGAAAAGAGGTCAATTTTTATAAACTGTAATCTCTGCTAAAATGCAGAGATTTGTGCAAAAAGTCACAAATGTATCTGTGGGACTTTACTATTAATTAGAAAGAAGGTTAAAAAATTCAAGCCTATTACAAACATACTGATTCCACCATGCTCTGTTTATCTGTAACTCTAAAAATGTATGGAGTTGAACTCTGAAAGTTCTGGAAGGCTTTTTTTTTTTTTTTTCTTCTTCTTTTAATTCTTTGCTTTGAGAGGAGCTCTAAGAAAGGAAGTGAGAGGGCACAGCTTTGAAGAACTGGCACTTGCCATCTTCTCTGCCCCCTCGCTCCCCCTCCCCCACAATCTTAGCTATTTGACCTGATTAAACAGCTTTGGGACTGTAGCCAGACCTCTGTATGCTAACGAGGCCCCTGCCCTATTCATGATTTCGTGCGATTTCATCCACCTGCAGCTTTTAGGCTGCACAGTCTGAGCCTGACTTCTCAAAAGTCTCCCAATTTTGTCAGGGGCTCGTCAGTGGGGAGTTCACACTAACTTGAAACAGACACCGACATTCTGAACGCCTCAGGCCACACCGGATTATTCTTTAGCAAATTCTTTTCACCTTCTATCCAAGTAGTAAAAGTGACGCCATAATCGCGTGTGCCACTCCCGGAAAGGGATTCCGTCAACACCCAGTGTAGGGTCTACTACAACTTCAAGTTTCCAAGCTGCAAGAAGCGTTTTCAAAAGTTTCCCTAAACCTTCCCTACCTCTAAGCCTAAAGGTCAGAGCGCCAGGTCCTCCTCAACTCTCCAGCGTCCTGGAATGTGATCATTTCAGAAGTTTCTGGTGCGTGGGGAGACAGAAAGGGTGGTAGTGGGGAACCGCGCAGTGTGACTACCGTGCATTACGTAACGAAAACCCTAGCTGCAGGAGGGAGTGAGCCTGACATTGAAACATTCCAAGGGGAGGGGAGTTGCTGTCCTAGAGTCGCTAGGAACGACGGCGGCAGTTCCAAGAAACCGGGAGAGGAAGGTGGCAGAGAGATAAAATACTTCGGCTATAAGAATATTAAAAAGCCGCAGGATCCAGAGTATTAGCAAACGGCAGGACCCGTATAGTAATTTGACCAAACGGCAGCCTTCCAACTTCTGCACGGGAACGAGTGGACTTGCCTTTTGGGGGATTAAAACCAGTATTTGCAAAGTCAAAATGTAATGAATGGGATTCAGTGGTTAGTTGGCAATATTTAAATAACTCTGCTCAGGAGCGCAAACTCTCTGTAGTTATTTAGAAAAGTAGGGACTCAAACCAAACTAGAATACTCTTCCGAGCGTCTCCACTTTCCCCAATCGGAAAAGGAGCTGCTAGCGCGGTACTGCCCCTTTAAGACCTGCTAGCTCTCGGGCTCTACAAAAGGGAGTGACCTCTGGGCTTTGACAGCTCCCCTAATAACTACCACCGCGCAGGCCCCGCCCACCTGGCGGCCAGCCGCGTCGATTGGCCAGCGGGCCGGTATCCCGTGCTCTGATTGGCCCTTCGCTTCCCCTGAGCGAACCTTTAGAACTCTGAGACAGACAATATTCTGTTACATTGTAGCAAAATGGCGACTGTCATTCACAACCCCCTGAAAGCGTAAGTAAGACTAAAAAATGTACATATTCCGCGTGGTTTCAATATGAAAAAAAAGGCGCCTTCTGGGTGCGGAGCGCTGCCAATGCACTGCGCTTGCAGGCGCCTCCAGCCGCCGCGGGGCTCTCTTTTCTTTCAGCTCTCACTTCATCTTTTTTTTTTTTTTTCCCCCCAACGCGCAGAAATGTCAGGAGATGCAATTAACAAGAAGAAAATTGTTACATTTGTGTTTTGCTTAATTGTTGGACTGAGCCAGAGATGGGTGATAGGTAGAGGAGCCTAGCTCCCGCGCGCTCGTCAGTTTAAGGAGATTGTGGGCAGCACGGGAACGGCGGGTACCCCGGGTCCTCGGCGTCGCGGGGCGGCGAGCGCGTAGCTGGGGGCTGCCGACCGGGGGGTGCAAGCTGGGCAGTGGCCGTTTCGATGCACTTGGCTGCGCCCCGCGCCTCCGGAGCCGGCAGCTCGCTCCCGGCTGCTTGGTCTGCCCAGGCGAGCGGACCGCGGCGGCTCCGGAGTTTGCCCGGCGCTCTCCGCCTTCCGATCGCTCGCGGGGAGTTTGTGCAAACCTTCCGGAGTTGGGACAATCGCGGGGGGAGCCGCGGGTCCCGGGAGCTCTGGGGCCCAGGTGGCTGCCTGGGGCTTTCCTGTGGGGCAGCCCCTGGAGCGTGAAGGCGCTCCGGGCGTTCGCGGGCTTGTATTCGTGTGTGTTTGTGGGCGACTGGCCGTAGTACATTAATGACTCGGGTTAACTTGGAGTTGATTCGGAAGCTAGGAAGCTGCAGGTCTTATGAATGGTGTTCTTGCCTCTTCTGGGTGAAAAGGAGAGGCAGCCACGGACTCCTCGCCCCAGCGTGCAGCGTCTGCTCCCGGCCCGAGCGAGGGGCAGGTGCCTCTGGCTGCCGCCGAGAGACTTTGAGCAGACGCCCAGATCCGGGACGGAGGGGGCGGGTTGGGCAAGGGCACGCGGGGGCCAGTCCCCGGGTCCGACAGCCAATTCCTGCCTGTCTCCCTTCCTCCTCTTTTTCATCCTGGCTTCCTTCCTTCCTTCCAGTCGGTGGAACTGTTAAGCCGCCAAGTCCGCTCCAGATCGCGGAGCCGGGGGTAGCCTCGGAAAAACCAGCGCCGCTCTAAAAGGGTGCAGTTGGTGGTGCTGTTGGCAGAGGTTTCTCTCGGTTCGTGGCGCAACGTGGGTCCGAGCGCGTTGGACCAGGACTTCCCCGCTGGGCTGGAAGCCTCCAGCGAAAGGAGTGGGAGGTGCGGGTGGGGGCGCTGCGTGTTGAATTCTCTCGGGAGCGCGGCCGAAGGCGACCCCGGCGCTTTCAACTGTGCGCATCCACGTCCGCCCCCTCAAGCCCCTGGCCTCCCCCCTGCACCCCGCCCCCCGGGCTCCTCCGGGAGTTAAAAACCTGGTTCGCACAGGGGGACCCAAGGCGGGGGAAGGGATCCTCAGGAAAAGAAGAAACGCGGGATGAATCGATAGTGTTTGCATCAGCTTATCTCCCACCAGCAATAAGAAGAAGGGGTGGGAATGTCACAGGTCTGGGAGTTTTAAATATATATGATTAGTGCAGCCGCTAAGAGTGCTCTGGAAGCTAATGCTGATCAGAGAGGAGCTCCCGGCTTCAGCTATCCTCAGAAGCTCGGCTACGCTGCGCTTGACCACTACAACGTTCCAGCCAAGGAGGAAAATGTTTTATGGCAGAATAAATGGGCGTAACTTCGCCGCATCCACGCTCCCTGTCGCTCGCGCGGCTACACCGCTGATGCTGGGAGTTTCTACCCAATCCACAGCAGATTTGCAGTTTTCCCATTTCCAGCCGAAATTACATAGCGGGGCTGATGCCAGCTGGTAAAGTCAAGTTAGAGAAATCCATTTCACATGTGTGTCGGGTTTGTTTCCTGTTGGAGAAGCTGTGCCCTCGTTACCCCGGAGCCCGCTTGGTTACACGCGGGCGCAGTATCTCCTGGTTCTAGGGTTCCCCTGCTTGCTTGCTTTTTGACCACAGGAGGGTGCGTGTTTGTGGAGGGTGTCTGTCTGGGTAAGGTTAGGAAAGGGGGAAGCGTCAGAGAAGAGGGTGACCGAATACCGGCTGGTCAGTGGATTTAGTTCTGAATTATTGTACTTTGTAGAACTAGAAACAGTTGCATTGTGACGTATTTATAATTCGGTGTCTCGACACACATGCCCACTTTGGCATACAACACCCCTGCCTGCTTTTCCTAGGTGGGCGTTGAGTGGTCATATGTAATCAGCCTCTCCTTTTTGGATTCGTACCCCTTACTCTGGGGTGAGGGTGTGTAAACAATGCCCGGACCAGCCGAGCCTCCAGCTCTCTGGACGCTTTTGTAAACTCTTAACACAGGATCATATATGTTGTCATTGGGAGACCGACACCATCTATCTGCCTTTATTTTTTTTTTTTGAAAGAAACAACTTGCTTAATAAAACATCTTATATGTTTCATTTGTTTGTAAAAGTTGCTGATCAGGAAACAATACACACATGAATAAATTATGCATGGAATAAATTAGAACAAAGCGCAGAGCCACCTCGAGCCGAGGGGATGGATTGTGGTGCTGGGAGGAGGGGGAGCCGCGAGAATGGTTTGGAGAGCTATGTTTTTATCCTCACGTGTCCCTATTGACAATGAAACGGAGCTGAACTACATTAGCATTTACTGTGTGTGCGTTCTATCTCCCCCTCCCTTTAGGAAAAAAAAAAAAAAAAAAAAAAACCAATACCACCAACTCCCCCTACAGAAGCTGATTACACAAAGGTTTCCTCTGGGACTGGGGGAGAGAGTGGTGGTAGGTAACTGTTGCCAGAAGAAACTAGCTCAGGTTTCATGTAACACCTCTGTAGGGTTCTGCCTACCCTCAGTGTAGATCTTTTTCTCTTTATACTAGCTCTGTCCACTCAATGGCTGCTCTCACTGGATGGCACTTAGGGGTCTCATTGCTTTGGAGTCTTCCTCGAGGCCCCAAGCTCCTGAAGCCACATCTCCTGTCTTAGCAGTTTGCCTTTCTTCCTGCCTCTTTTTGATCTCCCCTCAACTCTCTTTCTTATAAGTCTCTTCTTTGCTCCCTTCTCTCTGAAGCTGACAGCCTCGCTTCTCCTTCTGTGTGCCTTTAACATCTTATTACTGCCCAACAGGGTGTTAAAGGCAGAAACTGGAGCCGCCTAGTCTGATCGGATCACAAAGGGGACGCAGCAGGTGGCTCCACAACCGAGCAGTCACATCTGGACAAATAGAATTAAAGGCATTGATGGGGATGTATGATGTGTAAATGTGTATTACACATTATTTAATTTAGCAGCTACGTGGCTTGAGCCTAGATATGTGAGTCACCCTCATTTCCTACATATACAAGCATGATAAGGGCCACGGAGTGAAAGGAACATGTGCCAGTAACATAAATATGGATTTGATACAGATTAGTCAAATTATACTTTATATTCGTATTGCTTTCTGTATAGCTAGGAACCTTAATGCTTTTTAATACACATTCTAATCTTATTTAATATTCTAGTTCAGATAAACCACCTTCTCCTAAATCTGATATCAGTACTTTAAGCAACTTACTCTTCTATTAAGTTATCAAAACCCTGGTTTGTTTGCACTTAACTGGGAATGTCTGCCACCTTCTGCCAGACTTGATTATGCACATATGTATCTATTATTATAACTGCCTGCTTAGAGAAAGAATAAGTGTTATTATTATTTAATTATTCTATAAAAACCAACAGGCCTTTACCTCGGATAACTATTTATTTATAAAGAATGACAGCAGGAAACTAATTTGTCGTGCTAATAACTGTAAACATATCTATACATAATTGTATTTGAACTTACTTTCCTAAAGAGTTATCCTTGCTTGGAGGTACGTGTTTATATCCCTGTTTTATAATTAAGGACACAACTCTGGGAGAAGTATATATACTCAGCCCAAGTCAAGCAGCGGGGTCGTGTGTGTAGATGGACCTCAGATTTTCATCTTTTTACACACCGTACGATCTGGATACAGTTTCTAATCTAAAGTGGTTCTGTGCATGGGAAAGTTGTTTAATTGTCAGCACTTAAAGCCAGAGTCTACTCTTGCTGTGGCACTCTGTTTAGATAGCAGAGAGGAAGGGGTAGGGGGACACATTCCAAGTTCTACTCTATACTTAGCTCCTTTTGTTGGGGTGGGGGCACATGGGTAGCTACTAAATGGGGAAAGCTGGGGTTGAGACTTCCCCAACTTGTAGCTTTTTCTAGACCTACTTCTGGCCCCTTATGAAAAAAGACCCTTAGATATTTTACTCCAGCCAATGGGAGCTCTGGTAGCATAGTGGCTAAGATACTTGCCTGCTAACCAGACGGCTGGCGGTTCAAACCCACCAGCCACTCCTCGGAAGGAAGATTGGGCAATCCTACTTCCGTAGTGATACTGCCTCAGAAACCCAAGGAGGGGTCACTATGAGTCGGGTTTGACTCGACGGCACACAACAACAACAATGCCTAACAACTACCTTCTCCATCTGTTTCTGGTTGCCATTGAAAAAAAGCTCTAAATTCTCCAAACTTCCTTAGCACACATTATTTTTCAGCGGTAGGGATGTCTGGTTTTGATGAGATATCCATAAAGGATATTAGTTCTGCCAGAACCCAAGTGGAGGCATTGTCATAGGGTCAACCTCTGAAAATAGCCCAGCCTGCCGACCACCTGGAAGTCATCCAGGCATCTCCACTGGGACGGGAGCTGCTTAGACCCAAGGGCTGGGACTAGAGGCAATGTAGCTAGACACTTATCTTCCTCTGCCTTTCTGGAATCATGCAGGTGGTTGGCATTTGGATCCACCTGAGAAAGACCATAATGTCTAAAGCTGTTTCAGAACCATCTGCTCAAATCAGGGCAAAAAAATAAAGTGCCTCAGTCAGCATCCTTTGCCTTGAGCCTGCACCAGAAAAAGAATGGAAACTGAGGCTGATGTTTCAGTTTTCAAAGAGCAGCCACACAGG